TTAAATTTAACTTTTTAACTTTAACACATTATTTTTATAAAGATAATAAGTCTATGTGCAATTTATCTATATAAATTTATTTTATTAATTTTAAATATTTTATCTGTTTAATTTATGAATTTAATTTAAATGCATGGAAGTGTAAAATTTTTTACGTTGTCATTTAATGATAGATTGTTATATCAGAAAAAAAATATTAATTTTTGTAATAAATAACATAAAATTCATACATCAATTGTTAGTGCACTGAAATTAAACTCTTAATTTATTCTATGTTAATATAATTAAATTATTATTATTATAACTATAAAATTAATATTTTAAATCTAGTTTTTGTTAATTTATTTAAATTTTAAAAAAATACAGAAACTTTCTAATACCAATATTTTACCAATACACGATTCTTCTAATTGTATATGTAGGCTCATATCCCAGTCATTTAGCTTTACATGGTATCAAAATGGATTGTAATTTGTAATGGATATTGATAAGCCAAGATCCTTTTACGGAATCGTAAAGCATGATGAGATGGTGGATTGAGCCTGAAATTTTAAGCTCCCAGGACAATACACCTTAATTAACAATATTGAAAATATAATATATATTATAAATACATTATTTATTAGCAAAAAAAAATTTACAAAGGTTCATATTAATTAAGAATTTGTTTATCTGATTTGAAGAATCATGTTATACTCTTTTAATATACATCGGATTTATGTACAATGGGTATTGACTAATTTTGTAGAGATTGTTTCATCTCACCTATTGATTTTTATTGTTTTTTAGTTTCTATTTTCGAATTAGCTATTCTTTTATTTGTTTGAGAAGTTTTTCTAAAACTTAAATTACTATATAATTTTACTGATTTAAACATCTTTGTTTTCTATTAATGTTTCATCTATCAAGATTAACTTATCAACCATTTCACTGACTCACCTAAGAATTACTACCAAGACTACGATCTGGACTGACCAGCACTAGTTTTAACACTTATAAATTATAATTTTGTTTAAATTTTGTAAAATCTGTTAATACTTCTCAGTTACCAGAATTAACCTTTCTCGCGACTAGGCTCTAATACTAAAATTACGGATCATTACAGAGAAAAATGAAAACATATTGAAATGCATTACGTTTGTAAATCCATAAACCTGATATGCAAAACTAAATCAGAGAAGTAAAGAAATATGCAAAAAAAAATAAAAATTGAAAGAAAACAGATAATATTTACAACTTACAAGAAAAGCTTTAAATACAATGATAGTAGAGGTTTCCTATGAATGAAAAGAAAAATCATAAACTTTTTCTAAGATGAGATTATAGGAAAGTTTGAAAAAGAAGACTCGATATTTTCTCCAATACCTTCTACTTATAAATGTTCTCCTTATATAAAAATTGTAATGATTCCTTTCAATAAATGTCCTTACAGCTTTAATAATGGCACCTTACCATTTTTTATTGAGAGATGTTTTTCATTAGGGATTAAAGATTAACCAAAAATAATCATGTTGTAGTAAAAGAAAGACTTAAATAAATGCTTTAAATAATTATTAATTAACTGAGAGTTTGCACAAATTTTACTTAAAAATTGTAATGATCTTTTTCTAATGATAAAAATGTAAGATTTTTTTAAACCTAAACTAAATTTATTCTTAGTTTTATCTTAGGAAACCATTTTCTTACACTTTGTAACATGTATAGTTTTATCAAGCAAACACATTTTTAATTTCAAGCAACTTGTCGGACTTTCTTCTTTGGTAGTCCTAGAGACTAACTTAACATTTAGATAAGGTATAAGACATCATATACAACTTTATACCTTTTACTCTAAGGATCTAATATGTCCCATATCACATTAGTTCATAAGGTAAATGATAAATCCTTAACTAGTATCATATTAATTTGGTAAAATCCAACATCAAATAATTACTCACTCATTAACTCTAATAACCCTATATAACCTATGAAATTTCATACTGTATAGGAATCCCCTTGTGCGACAATGATCCAACTGATATAACTGTATTTCTAGACATAGCAATCTTATTAATAGAATCTTGTTATAATTCTCGAGTATACTTGTACTATTGGACATAACATTGAAGATTTGTAAAATAAGAATAAAAAAGAGGGATGAAACTTTTCAAATACTCATAAAAATAGTTAAGACTTGAAAGAAAGAAAAGAAATAAACTGGATAAAGTATAAACTAATATAAAACCTTGATTTTCATAAAAATCAACTTAACCAATATAATATAATAAATTTCAATCATTCATTCACAAATAAGAACCTCATACATTTCCAATTCAATGTCAAACTATAATGCATAAGACTTATGCATATGTTGACTTTTGGCTTGGCCAAAAATCATTTATTATGCTTATGTGACTCTTGGATCTATTATTATTATAGGAAGTTATTGAGAGTTTCACTAGTCAGCCTACATTTCGCATGTATGATGGGGATTCAAACCTCCACTGATTGATTTATGTTGACCAACAAAATAAGTTTCAAGAGAAGATTAAATAAAAGAACATCGCGTAGAGACTTTCAACCAGAGTTCTGTGGCTTAGGATACCCATGAAGCTAATAATAAATCACCCAACTCCATTAAATCTTCTAAATGTTGAGGTCTTCTCTATCTTTCACTAACAACAGTTATATAATAACTTCGTGACTAATTCATATTTCATAGTAAGGCTAATACTATCGATTCAAGGTATTTACATTCTTCTTATTATTTAAACCTTGAAAAACGATTATTAAAAGTGACAATGCTGCCTAAAGAATTAGTCATGCTGGTAAAAGAGAAAACTTAATAGAAAACAAAAATGTGAAAATATACACACTAGGAAATGAAGTAGTTAACAAATTTATCAAAAATAGTTCACAAATAGCAAAGCTAGGAAATCTAGAGGGGTATATATTAGAAATAAAATATAAGAATTTTATCAACTAATATATAAATTAATAAATAAAAAATATTAAAAACTACACTAAAATGTATTGAAAATATGTTAATAAAAAAATATTTAAAAAATACTTGTTAGCATTTGGGTTAATTCTGCTTATTGTCACGGTAGCAATCAAAGGCTGGAGTTGCGCCATTTAAATTGAAAGGCAAGATATCCGTGAATTAAGCCTTAGTGGTCAATCATTACGTGAGAATTTCAGATCCACCTTTGCTTTGAGCACAAAATCAAAGACAAGGTTTCCAAAGTACGTTATTCTATGCCTTTTTTAACTTGGACATTCCTGATTTATGCTTTTTTTAAATATATTACTCAATATATTATTTATTATATATATTTAATAATGATAATTATTTTATATGTGAGAAAGCATAGAATGTTGACTTAGTTTGTAAAACAGAGATTAAAAAAAATGTTTCCGAAGTGATATACGTTTTTACGTTGTGATGCAGAATAAGACAATAGACAACCTACTACACAGGCCACTCGGTCAAAGATTTTATTCGTATAATTCAATATATTAAATATTCCTTGTTCACCGGACCACCGCCAAATTTATCGGATATTAATAAAACATTTTTTATATTTTCTTCAATATACTTGGATTTCTAGAATAACAGTTGAAAATTTATAATTTATATCTATAATTAATAAGTTAATTAAAATTTTGTTTCATAATTAAAAGTTTATAATTTTTTGAAAATTTAATTAAATTGGAGCTGTTTAATAAAATTATTTAAAATATATTGAATATAATATCTTATTAAAATTAAATAAAGTGAAATGTTACAAGTTTGTTTACTATAATTTATTTAAGAGAATAGAGATGAAAATAAAATAAAATTATTGATGATTATAAAATTATACGTTATTTTAACAAAAAATTTTTAAAAATATTTTATATTTTCTTAAAACACTTATTTTCTGACGTATTTATCTAGCTAGTCCTCTGATTTGACTTTCATTCGTTGAGAGTGAAAACGTGTTTTGTGGGGTAGTCCATGCATATGATGTAATCAATGTCGTTTCTCTTTTCACAAAATTATTCGCAAGATTAAATTATCAACACAAATTTATATTTATTAAAATACACAATGAATATAATTTTAGAATTAACTTTTATAAAAATTAATATTTTTACTACTATAATATTAATGCATTTCAGTTGTATCATAAAATAATTCAAGCAATTTTTATCATTGATCTTAGTTTTATGTCTGGTCATATACCAAAATCCACATCAAATTCATATTAGTTTATAATTTTTAATCTCGCCACAAATTGTAAAAAAAAATCAGGTTGACGAGTAACAAAAAGAAAGAGGTAGTAGAAGAAAAAATTTAATTCTTAAATACTTAAATTAAAGAATAATAATATTTCATTTATTTTTTAATTTTTTTATTATATCATATTATCAATTCCTTATTATTTCTTTTTCTAATTTTATATATTTATTTATTTCTCTCTTTAGGTATAAAGAATACTGCCAACTATTTTCCGAAGGAAAGGAAATATGCACAACGACAAGGTCTGCAAGCAACGTGACAGCTCTTAGAGTTTCCATTATGAAACTAAAAAGCTCTGCAAGACCTTCCTTAATTAATTGATGTTAATTGATGCCAGAATGCAAGTTTTTCTTTTCAGACCAAAGAAAAAGATTTTTTTTTTTTTGAAAAATGGTTCAGCAAGTTATATTAGATTTTTTATAAAATGCATATAGTTTGTTAATATATTTTAATAAATAAATATACATTAGCGCCTATATTTATTTTTTTAAGCATATTTAAAGACACATCTTAAAAATTATTAAATATATATTATCAAATGTTTTAACTTAAATATATTTTTAAATAATAATTTTATTTTTAATATTTTTTATTTTTAGTACACGGTAAAATAAAGCCATTTAAAATATGAGACAGATCCCTTTAATTAATTTTTCTCAAACGAAAACAGAGTATAGAAAAATATACAATCTTTGGTGTTTTAAAATAATGAAATTCTGCTCTAACATTTGAAACTGCATTCAAATACAAGCCTACCACTCCTACCAGAAGCCAGAGTCTTTGTTTCTCTTACCTCTCTGAAGAAGGAAGATCCACTCATCAATAAATGCACGCGCTTCTGAACACAATTTCTTCTGTTTTGAAACCAACCCAGATCAGATAGTCATTAAGTTCTTATCTTTGTCTTTTTTTCAAATAAACCCAAACAGTCCTTGTGGTTACAGCCTGTTTCTAAGAACCTAATTTTCAGTTTTTTAACTCAAATTGTGCTTTTGTGAATTGTGGTTTTCTTCAATGTGTGTCTCAAAGTACAAAAAGCTTTGTCTTTGTGTGGTTTCATCATGGTTGTGGCGTGGAGGTGTGGTTGTCGTTGTGGCTTCAAGCGAGAGCAGTGGCAGTTCCAAAGACCTTGATGAGACGCCAACATGGGCCGTTGCTTGTGTCTGCACTGTGTTCATCTTGATATCCATAACTCTCGAGAAGAGTCTTCACAAAGTTGGAACGGTGTGTTAATGTCACCAATTTCAAACGCCTCCTTTTTCTTTGTCTTGTAATTACTGCTGTGTTTCGCTGCTCGTGCGTTTCACAATTAATGTTTGATCCACACACTTGAAGATTTTTCTGTCATGTGATGTGCAATGCCTGTTTTGCTTTTTATTTTATTTTATTTTATTTTATTTTGCTTATTGATAACATTTATATTTTTTCGTTTTTGTTGAAGTTGTGCTAAAATGTTTGAAATCTTAGAAATATTCGAAGGTACGATTAGTGCTTCTTGTGATTTTCTTGTTTAAATCCTTGACCTGGTGAATTTTTTCACAGTGGCTACAAGAAAGGCACAAGAAGGCACTACTTGAAGCACTGGAAAAGGTCAAAGCTGGTAAGAACTTTTCACATAAAAGCTTCAAGTTTGAATGAATTGTTTTTGTATAACTTTTTCCCTTAAAAATGATTCTAAGTTAATATGATTTATGTTTCATTTTTTTAATTTAAGTTTTTGAGTAAAATTTAGTATAAATTTTTTAACGCAATGTTACGCTAACCCAAATATTAGTTTAAAGGTAAAATTAATTTTGATGAAAAACGATCAAATATCGAAATTTTTGTAGAATCACGTTATATTAAAATTAACGAAAATTTGTAACGTTTAAATGCCGGCCCAAACGTGCACTTATCCTTATCTCCCGGAGCCAAAGCCAAAGCCAAAGCAGTTTGACTCTTCTTGACTTAATTTATTTCAGTATCATTATCTCTTTTTCATATTTGTGTGAATAGAATAATAGTAAATAAATAAATGAATAACAATTATTTCTCTTGCATTTTTTTGCTGTTGTTGATTTTGTTTTTTGCAGAGTTGATGATTCTGGGTTTCATTTCACTGCTTTTGACTTTTGGTCAGAGTTACATTGTTAGAATATGTATTCCAACCAAGTTGGCAGACAAACTGTTGCCGTGTCCATATAGAGCAACAGGTACCAAAAATGCATCAAGTGAAGAGGAACATCGTAGGAAACTTCTTTCTTATGAACGCAGATACTTGTCTGATGAAGCTACCTCTTACCAATGCAAGGAGGTAACTATCTTTCTAAGCTAAGGTTTTATATTTTATTAAATGAAACCTTATTCTATGCTCTTTTGTCAAAGTAGGCTTGGTGATTTTCTTTTGTTAAACTTATCAGCAATTGACATTATAATTTTTTGTAACACTGTTTTTTGTTGCACTTTTCTGGTTTATGTTTAAAAAAACATACTATATTTTTGCAGTAATATTAAAGTCATGCTAAATTTGTTGACGTAAGTGTAATTTGTCTCATTCAAAAACACCATGTTTAGGTGTAGATAGGCAAATTGAGAACATTTGCTTGTCTTTTAGGACTCGAGAACAATTAACATATGGTTGCTATAGGAAAATAATATATTTTATGTTAGTTATAAACGTTACACTCACTGTTTTGTTAGGTTTCAAAGAAAAATCCTCTAAAATTTCCACTTATTCTCTTTTGCCGTACTGTCAATAGGATTTATAATTTTGTACTATTTCTGTCAGCAGTCAGCATAACATGAAAGATTTCTTTTGCTCTTTAGTCTTTAATTCCTGAAGTGTTTTGCAATTTTTCCCTTATCAGTAATTGCCTATCTAATTGTTTTTGTGCTTGTAGGGACATGAGCCACTTATATCTGTCAATGGATTGCACCAGCTACACATTCTCATATTCTTCTTAGCCGTCCTTCATGTGATTTACAGTGCTGTCACAATGCTTCTTGGTAGACTAAAGGTCTGTATGTCTCTTTCTTTCTTTCTTTCTTTCTTATTATTATTTTGTTGGTTGAATACTCAAGTTATTTTTCGATATTTGTGCATTTTAAGGATACTGAATTGGTAACCAACCTTTTGACCCCTTCTTCTAACTTTGGAACTTGGAAGTTGGAAGCATGATGTCTGGAAGATTTAATGGTTAAAATATCTTGGAATTACTGCTTTATTATTTTAAGTTTTTCCTAAAACAAAAGGAAAAAGATTGAGTAGATTTAGTTTAAATTTAAGGTATAATGGCTCAATTCTCTGTCCTTATCCTGTTATTATTTTTCCATAGTGAGTGTTAGTGCAAATATAAGAGGGAACTAAAACATCATGGACAAAATTGTAGGTAGGTTGACAACGTGCTGGAGAATACAACACTAGCCTTATTATACCAAGACCAAATAGTTCATCTACTTCACCATGGAAAACTGAAAGAAAACTCAACTGGTCTGTGCTCAATGAAAAATCACAGTATCATAAAATAGGATTTAAATGGTAAAGATATTGCATTAAAATGGCTTGAGTAATTAATCTGAAATGAGAGGGTTTAAGTCTTAAGATTGGCCACCTGATGAAATATGTTCAAGGATAGAGAATGTAGGCTGAACATTTGCTCCCAAACTCTCACTGTGGTTAGGTTTGTGAGTCTTTTACTGTATCTTGGTCTGTGAATAAAATTATCGGGAAGTATCATGCCCTTTTTCTGTTCTCAGTGATAATGAGGATTTGGTAACATAACACGGTGATTGAAAATTTCTTTTGTACCTACTGGGTAAGAATTAGTTGTTGTTATTGTGTAGATTCGGGGATGGAAGGCTTGGGAGGAGGAGACTTCATCTCATGGGTATGAGTTTGCCAATGGTATGATACCCAATGATGTATTTAATTGTTTTTCTTCTGAGTGTAAAAATAATACTGATCATACGAGCAATTTGATGCCTATTTTGGGTATTGATATTAAATGTGTAGATCCTTCAAGATTCCGGCTTACACATGAAACATCGTTTGTGAGAGCTCATGCTTCTTTTTGGACAAGATACTCAATCTTCTTCTATGTTGTAAGACCCATTTTACTAATCTGCTATGTTTTCACTTTTATTTGTTTGAGGTTGAGGACTTATTTTAATCAACAAGTTAAGGAATGAGTGCCCATGGCTTTTGTTGGAACCATGAAACACGTAAAATTTGTTAAAGAAAAAGGATGAGATGCTTTAGTGGCGTCATTTGAAGTGTAGCTCAGAAAAATTGGGTTGTGAAGTAGAATAGCTAATGGATTCACTATAGCAATTTTTTTAACATTATTGTTAATAGAATGCCTGCTGTTTTATAACTTGAATTCATCATGATCTTTTGAAATTGATGATGTACCATCTCTTCCAACGTTGCTAATTTCAGGGCTGCTTCTTTAGACAATTTTATAGGTCTGTGGGCAAGGCTGACTACCTGGCTTTGCGCAATGGATTTATCACTGTGAGTCCTATGCTGAAAGACATTTTCGCATAATGCTGAAATTGCCTTCCCTTTTTGACAGCGCATTATGTGTAGGTCCACTTGGCTCCTGGAAGTAAATTTAACTTCCAAAAGTATATCAAAAGATCGTTGGAGGATGATTTCAAGGTTGTTGTGGGAGTTAGGTAAAACTCTTTTACACAGTGCATTTGTAGCATTATAGCTTGTTTGACATACATGCACAATTGCTCACTATGATGTATTTGTTGTTGACAGTCCCGTCCTCTGGGCATCATTTGTTGTTTTCCTGCTCCTAAATGTTAATGGTGAGCAACTTTTTCTTAATGAGGTCCTACGAAATTCACAATTCTTCAGTTGAATATTCAGTTAAGGAATGACGTTTGTTTAATCCTATATAAATTTCCAGGATGGCATGCTATGTTTTGGGCATCCTTAATTCCTGTTGTTGTAAGTATTGTGTTTCCGACATAAAATTTGCAGAATGGTTGAGACCTACAAGTATAAACCTTTTAATTGGTTGCAGATAATTTTGGCTGTTGGAACAAAACTTCAAGCTACATTGGCAAAGATGGCTATTGAACTTACAGAAAGACATGCAGTTGTCCAAGGGATTCCTCTTGTTCAAGGCTCAGACAGATATTTTTGGTTTGATCGGCCTCAGTTAGTACTTCATCTCATCCATTTTGCTTTGTTCCAGGTATTCAATTGATTTCCTTTTAGCAGAATCTTGAACAAATGTTTAGTAGATGGAACATACAAACCATACATGATTGTTACATTTAGAGTTGGAAAGGCATCTTAACCTGGAAGCAAATGAACACTAATGTTGCATCCAGGATGCATAACATATTGATTACCTTAAAATTCTTGTGTGTTATATAGGAAGTTTGTATTTTTAAATACTGCTTAAAAGCACATAGATATTTTTTTGCCGACTGTAGTTCACCAATTTTTAGTTCATTTACATTATTTTGATGGATTTGCTATTGAACAAATAATGTAAAATTTCCTAGTTTAACCTTTGCACTAGGGAGAAATATATTTTTGAAGTTTGGAATATTTTTGTATTTGACTGATTTTTTCTTACCTGCAGAATGCATTCCAAATTACATATTTCTTGTGGATATGGGTACGGATCCCCCTTTACACCTTTATCTTAAATAATATCTTTTTGTAATCTACTTAGATTTTGATAAATGGGTGAATAATAAAATGTGACAATTTCTTGATTTGCAGTATTCTTTTGGGCTGAAAAACTGTTTCCATGCTGACTACAAGCTTGCAATAGTGAAAGTAGCTTTAGGGTAAGTGTTAGATTTAAAATTATCTTTTGCACTAATATGGTTTGCTTGAATATGCATTTCATACTTCAAATTAACTGCTGTTTTTATATGAACTCACTCTATCTTGACGCTATCTTCGTTTGAAAACAATAGAATAGGGAGCAGATATATAGATCCTCAAGAAATTAGTATGATTGCATAACAATACCATAAACTAATCTGATGAATTCTGATGTGGTTTGAAGGGTTGGGGTGTTATGCCTCTGCAGCTACATCACCCTTCCATTATATGCTCTTGTTACTCAGGTACGACTTGCTTTTTGTTTACTGATTTTCTATTATTTGATCAGAGGCATTCTTTTGCTTTGAACGAAGTTTTTTCAGCAGGCATGAACTTAACTGAGATCAATATACAAAAGTGTTGTTTATGAGCTAAATGACTAAATTCCAATAATTAATTCCTGATGCCATTGAAACATTTTTCATAAATCCCCCTTATTTTTTATGAGCTATTTTAGTCAGACCATTCGTATGATATCATACAAAATTTGATTTTCCCGATGCTTTCCTTATTTATCTTTATTTATACTTGCATGTTTCTAAAGATGTCAAGGAGGACTAATTGACTATGATCACGGTAAACTCTTGCAGATGGGCTCAAGAATGAAAAAATCTATATTCGATGAACAAACGTCAAAGGCGTTAAAGAAATGGCACATGGCTGTGAAAAAGAAGCAGGGAGTGAAACTTGGGAAGTCGAGTGTGCGAACCATGGATGGAAGCACCACTGATTCAACAATACACTCTTCAGGCCCCACACTACACCGGTTCAAAACTACTGGTCACTCAACTCGCACCATGTCAACCTATGGAGACCAAGATGATTACCAAACTGATATTGAGTTGTCTCCTACATCACCAACATCAAACTTGTTAGTAAGAGTGGATCCCGGTGGGCAAGAAGTTAAAGAAAATGAACACAACAACATTGCAGGAGGAGAAACCGACAACCATGAATCAACAACAATAGGTGGCTTCGCATTTGTCAAGCCGGATCCCCTGGAAAGAAGCTTGAAATAGCATCACAAGTTACTCCATTCAACCATTTTTGTTCTTTTACATATATCTTTGACCTTGTTTAGATCTCTCTAGATATTGTTACACTCGATATGGTCCGTTTTGTACATTCTTGTTCTTAAACCACTTCCCGGCATTGGAAACGTTTTTGCTCTAAATCATGCTCATAGTCTTGTTGGCTTTGATTAACATGCTTGAGTGCTTGAGCAAAAGATCATTAGGAGCAAGTAGAGGACAGAATTGTGGGTTATACTATGTAATATATATACTAGGATATCCATAAATCCCAATTATACAAGCCTTCTGGTTAAGTACATCAAATATAGTAATATACAATCAGTTTCACCGTTTTTTATAGGTTCATACATCAATATTCGTGCACATTTATTGTGCTTCCTGTTTATAATTTTGCTATGGCCATATTAACATGTAGCCTTAGACATGGGAATTTAGGATGAGATGGTCAAGGTAAGAGCCGTCAATTCAGTTTGACTGAGTTTATTTGGGTCATTTGATGTGAGTTAATGTATTTGACTTAAATTAAGTTGGGTCAATTTAGTTGAGTCGTTTGTTTTTCTGGTTTATTAAGCAAAGTGGATTAACTCTCCCTGCATTCTCGCCTGTTCCCAAATTTGGAGAAAGGAAGGGATTGTGTTCAGCTTTTGATGGATAACATAAACTTTGTCAAAAGAAATACATGTAATTAAGTTATGTAAGTTGATTGAATAATTTATTCTTTATATATATATATATATATAAAGGTCAAATGACATATTTTAATAATACATAAAATATCTACAAAAGATGCAGCTCAATATATTTAATGACAATTGGATACCAAGCTCTAGTAGAATGTATTTGGTGGTTTACCTTATTAATGAAATGGTATGTAATTGAGTAGTATAATAATTTGAGTCCATATTAGTTAAAAATAGAATCAAATAATTTGCTATGAAACTTGAAAAAACATTTTATGAGTTAGCTTTTAAGAGTGAATTATACTTAATTTTTTAATATAGTATTAAAATCTATTTAGTTTGAATCTTCGGTTATAATATATGTCTAATCTTGCAAATTTTAAATATCATATGTGAGAATACTATTTATAAAGCTTGAATAAACTTACTCTTTTTTAAGTTAACTTTAACTCATGTACGACTGCTTCCACTCTTATCTCTCTATACACCAATTTTGGAATGGTAAGAGAGCTTATGCCGTAAACTGGTTTGAATGATGTTGTTCGTGTAGATGCATGATATGTGGTATTATACTAGAATTCAGCTTAAGGAACCCAAAAAGACAAGGTTTTGGGATGATCTGAAGCTAAACAACGAAAATATGTTTCTAAATGTTTGTTGACAACCTCAATTTGACCATTAGTTTAAGGATGATACGCAGTGTTCATCAGCAAATTGGTGCCTTGCAATTCGAATAATTCACTCCAGAAGTTACTCACAAATAAAGGATCTCTATCGCTTAATATGGAGGATGACAACCCATGCAACTAAACGATCTCCTTGACAAAAACCTCTACCACCTTCTTAGCTGTATATGGATGCTTTAAGGGAATGAAGCATCCATATTTCGATAGTCTATCAACCACTACTAATATTGCATCAAACCCTCCATATTGAGATAAACTCACTATGAAATCCAATTAAATATCCTATCTAATTTGAGATGAGATAGGCAAAGGTTAAAGTAATCCTCCCGAAGAAGCTGCTTCATATTTTTGGTGCTGGCACGTGTCACATGACAAAACAAACTCTTGAATTCTCTTCTTTATACCAACCTAATAAACATTTCTTGCTATCCTTTTATATGTTTGCCAAAAACCTGAATGACCCCTAGTGGTGGACGGATGGAATTCATTTAGCATATTAGGAATTAGAGAACAAGAAGCAAAAATGACTAGGCATCCTTTGTAATACAACACTCATTCTCATAAGAATACTTGCCTCTAGAACTAGGTTCAATTTGGACATCTCAAATAACTTGTTGCAAAAACTGATCTTGTAACACTTTCTACTTCTATATCGATTGTTGTTTTCACCGAGAAAAAGAAAGTATGCTAACTAATTGAACTTCACATTCTTTCTGAGATAAGGCATTCGCCGGCCCGGCCTATATACCACTTCAAATTGATAACCAAGCAATTTTGCCACCCAACATTGGTAATTGACAGAGACTATTTGTTGTTGTAACAAGTGCTTTAAATCCTTTGATCTGTATAAACCACAAACTGTCGGCCTAGCAAATAATGCCACCAATATTGAATGGCCAAAACTATGGCCATCAACTCTTTATCATAGACAGATTTAGCCCATTGAGCTTCTGACAAAGCCTTGCTAAAATATGTAATGGGCTGACCCTTCTGCATAAGAATAGCTCCAATTCCTTTCCCAAAGGCGTCACATTCCACCTCAAATTTCTCATTAAAATTTGGCAAAGTTAGCACAAGTGCATTGACTAAAGTCTTTTTAAGAATGTTAAAGGCATCTTCAGCATTTCTAGTGTATAAATGTTTGAAGATCGATAATATTACAAAGGTTGGGTTCATAAGCTTATGAAGTATATGAGAATAGAAACTCATGGACGCTCAACTTGTAGGGGTAAACTAGGCAAGTGTAACGACTGCTTTTTTGGAGGAATGAGTTTACCTTCATCTCTCAACATGTCTTTTACTTGTAAGAGGTTGATTGATGGCTTAAGATGTAAGTTACGCCCAAGGGCAACTGCTACCTCCTCTTTAATGTGTAGAATGTCCCTACTAGAGTAAAGCGTGTCTAAAAGTCCTTTAAGTTAAATATTGCTCGTGAATTCCCATTTGCTAGAACACTCTTTTAATTTTCTTCAGTGTCATTTCTTCACTTAGGCATATTGAGGAACACTCATCTAAATATGCTTCCTTATGCTTTACAACATTCATAAGTTAGGAAGTCTCATATTTTTCTTTGTTTCGCGCTCTAGTCTGTAAGCTTAGGAAAAGCATTTGTTGGAAGGTCATTTTGGAAAAAGTCTCCTATGGAGTTCCTCCACACTTCTCTTTTTCTCTTTGGGGAGGACCATGGAACTTCCAAAGTACCAAAACGATAATGAGAGAAAAATGATCCCCTATTTTTTATCCTTTGTTCCTTACATGGTTTCTTGTCCCTTAGTCCTCAAGTAGTACAACAATCAATGGTGACTCATATCTTTATCGTTTCCTATCTAATACCTTTAACCATTTTTAGATATTGCTACTTTTTATAGCTTGACTTCTTTCTTCTCACTTTTGAATACCATGACTGTAGAATTAGGGAGGTAAAGTGACCTGTCTCTATTCTCGAATGATTGTTCCTACATGTCTTGTCTACATATGAATTGCTTTTTGAAATTGGTAGTCCAAATAAGTTTAACATCTCATTCTTTGCTCAATAGTTTAAAAATTTGCTCTATCATAATAGTTCCTTTAGTTTCTGACATATCATTCTTGCAACATCGATTTCCTAAGTGCTTGTGGTTCGCTCCATGGTAGCCTCTTTCCTGCACTAAGAATTCTTTGAGGACACTATCCTTGCCACGTGATCCCTCATTTTCTACTCATGTCTCTTTTCAAATCCCTTGAGCATATTGTTAATGAGCTTTATTCCTCTTAATTCTCATTTTTATCCTTAGTATTTTAGTCTATTTTCAATAGTAACTATAGCAAATTAAAGAGGACCCGACCACAAATTGAATCTATGAAAAAATCTTTTAAAAAAAAATATTACCTAAAATACTAGAAGCACGTTTGATTTCTATGTTAAAAACAATTTTCTATTGTTAAAAATAAAATGTAATACAAATTATTCTTTTTTCTAATAAGAGAAACAGTGCAAGGTGACACTTTGAATTTATCATGAGACTCTGATTTTTTTTCTTAATTATATGTGCATGACAAACTTTTTTGAACTTATTGTGTTGATCTAATTCCAAAACGGTGGTTTCACTTGAAAACTTGGTGGAATTGAAAAGTAAAGCCGTTTAAAAATAAAATTTAATTTTGAACATCGATTTTTTTATAGTTTTATCAAGATATTTTTACATATATTGTCATATTTGAAACTAACTTCTGAGACCCTTTTAGTGTTAGGAAGTCCTCTTCATATTTTATTTCTTAAATTTAATTTTAAGCTTGTTTTACCGATTACATTGGAAGCTCTCCAAACAATTAGTTACTCAGGATTTCAACTTAGCCTTTCTTTTGAGAGTAAAATTTGCTTACCCACCTCATATAATCTTGTTGCTAAATGGACATGCAGCATCTGTTGAGAGGTTTCAGTAAAAAGAAAAAAAGAAAAGAAAGGCGAATTATTAAAAAATGGCCCATTTTGCTTGGGACTGGCCCTAATCCTTTTGTCACTTCTATTTGTCACTTTGCTAGCATGGCCTTATTAATTATAAGACAACCCATACCCTAACCCTCGTTGGTCATTTTGTTTCCTTTGTCGGCCGCGACAAGGATACTTGTGTTAGCTTATGCATGTTTCATATTTTGTTCTTCTAAAAGTAACGACCCTTTACAACTAATTACTTTGCAATGACTTAAGAGTAACACAAACAAACAATTGACTAAGGGAAAGGAAAAACAAATGCACATACTGAACTACAAGGATGGTGTAATTAAAATGATAATGTTTGTCTCATGTCTCTTATTTTCTGCGTTACCTTCATACCCCACTTTTAAAGTGAAAAGGGAAGACAGATAAACTCAATAATAAACCTTATCTCTCAGTTTTATACCATAAAATGAAAGCTGTAGAAATAGTGTAAAATGTAGAATGAAAAAATAATTGTTTAATATGAAAGAGTTTTTCTCAAATAATTATTTAATTTGTACCATAATTCCATTCTACTTAGAAATGTCCATTATGTAATAAACTTAGAATTTTGTTTTAAAAAATTTAAAAAACGTTAACTAGTCTCTTAAAACACTTGTTAAACAATAAAAAAATAAGAATATTTTGTTGAAAGACACCAAAATACACACTCCATTTTTTTAATGCATTTCAACTGATTTTTAATAAAAATTTATTATTTTTTAATTCTCAAATCAGTCTCTCATTAAAGGTTTACATTTAAAGTTTATTTAAATGAAATTAAGTATCATCTTAACCTTAACCCGCGTTAATTAAAAATAAATACAATACAGAGACTTGTATTGAAAGAGTTATCTTGGGAAATAAATAGCAAAACTTGGTTTGTTTTTCACTCTTCCCACTGCCACATAAATAAAGAAAGGAGGGTAAGGGTTGGGTTTTTATCTCTCTGAATCATTGATTTGGAGATTGGAAAATTAAAATTGTTGAGAACTGAAAGGGAATTTGGGCCCTACTTTGCCAGACATAAGCACATGTTGTATGAGGCTTATTGGATCCCACATGAAAGTGGGAAAAAGCCTATAAAGCTTTCAAGCATGTTAAATGAGAATCAGTGGATCACCCATCAAAGTGGGAAAGCCTATGTAGCTTTTATAAGAGGTACTCTATAACCAAAGGTTTTCACTGAAATTTGTTTCTTCTTTGTCTCCTCCATTTTTTACTGGTTTAGGGCTATACCCTTTAATAAGTTCCCAAGGAATTTATCAAGTTCAGCCAAAGACTAATACATACATTTACTTTAATTAAAAAATAAAAAAAAGAACAACTCTTTAGCTGCATTGATCCTCTCTTCTCCCATTTCTGATTCGGCACAGCACATAGTTTCTTTATTCTATAGAGCATTAATATGAGATGACCATATTTTAATTTATATTAAAATGTCTCGTAAATTTAATTTATTTTGAATCAAGGTTGGATGTAATTAACCTTAAATTTTCATACTTGAAAATATCTAAATCAATTGTTTATAGTTGTAGAGAACCCTTTGAGGTTAATTTCGCTGGTCGTGCAAGCGCAGGAAACTCGACACAGATCTAACAAAATTTATATATTTTAAATAAATTAAAGAGATGTTTCTAAATCCAGTGAACATTTGGTGTGTGTGTGTGTATATATATATATTTATATCATATTGTAATATTATACCCACTTTTATTTATAATATTTCTTCTGTTAATGTTGTTTTGGCTAATTTCATTTTAAAATTCATTTTGCTTCACTTATTTAAGCATGGAGCTCTTAAAACTAAATTTTAAAATATTATTTGTACATTAAATTAATTAATTAAAAATCAATCATGTCAATATTCAAAAGAAAGGAATTCACATATCGCTGCAAGACTCGCTTTCAATTAACTCCAACCATCATCAGAAAACTTTTTCCTTTCACAAAAACAGAAAATAGAAACCATTGAATGGAAGATCCAATTTAGCTGGTAGATGAGCAAAATTAGTCTTAAGATGTGACATTTTGTGGCTAAAACAAGATACTGGTTCGTGCATTAGCTTTATTTAAAGCACAATACTGTGTCGAATATATATATGTGTATAATATTTTGTGAAACTCAGTGATTAATTATTTTCAACATCAAATATGTTTCCAATAATTTATATTCTTAAATTTGACCACTTGTTTTACATTGTATAAGAGTAGTAACTTGAATTAAACTAGAACAATCCCTATATAATTTTCTTTTAATGAAAAATCGCTAAAATCTCAATAAATGGGCGACAAGATCAATCTCAACCAACGCATAAATACGAGAACGATGGTTTTTTTGTACCCACGACATCCAAGGTAATACGAGTACAAATAATGCGAAGCGAACATTGACAGAGGAACTCAATAGCTTTTGTTTTCATCGAAAGAAACAGAGCGAAGAGGAGGGGCCCTTGCTATTCTTGGTTATATTTAAATCATCAACAAAGTAGGTTAGAACGCCTCTGAAAAGTTGATAGCATAATCAGGGCTGGTAAGATACTCCCGCAAAGACGAAACTTTAGACTTATAGTGGCACAGTTGGCATATAGTTAAACGTTCTTGCCTCTATTCCTTTTCAGTCAGAAATTTAAAGTGCCTCTGTTAGATTCACATTCAAGTGATGTGTCTGATCAAATACATATTCTTGACTTTGAATGATGAACTAACTTCTAGTTTAATACTCATATTCTCAATTTAATTATTGCATTCAAGTCCTTAAAGAGAGTTTAATGCACTTCTGAGTTCTTAGGCATATATGCTTTTATGATATGCTATCTTTCTTCCCTCCTTCATCTTTTGGTCCATATCGTTTTTTAAATGAGAAACAAAATATTAGTCATTCCATGTTCCTCCATCAAACCTATGCTTTATAGTGCTCTGTTATATAACAGCCACTAAAATGTTCTTTGACAACTAGTTACTTTCTTTTCTCTTTTGTAGACTGTACGTAATTGTACACTAATTGAAAATAAAACAAATTTACATTGACAAACGGAAGCAATACAACCCAATACTAAACAAACAATGAAATGACCCAAAAAATTAGAGTCATCGTAATTATTCTTTGTGCGTCTTATAATTTAGGTTTAAGAAGATAAGGTTAGAGAAACGACAACTTGGAACAAGGCTTTTATTTCATCATAATCATCTTTGATCTTACATTCATTTTTGTCCCTTATCCCCAACGCCCCCTCCGCGCCACACACTCCTCATAAATAGCCAAATCTTCCGCGCACTTATCATCAATTAAATTATTCTGTTAATTTTGATTTTTGATTTGTTGAGTTTATTTTAAATATTTTAAAATAAGCACTTATTACATTAGAGATACAAGTGTAATAAATATTTTTTGATAAAAAATTGTTATTTTGAAATACTTAAACCTAAACTTGAAAAATAATATTAACAAAATCATGAATTAAAAAATAACTTTAGGTCTTCACACTTATATTATGCCTTTCATCTCTTTTCCTTAGTTATATTTATCATTTTTGTGTCTTTTATTTCTTTTTCACTGTTTTACGTTAACAGATTATAATAAAATTGTAAAAGTGGACTTAAATTATGTCCAAACAAGCAGTCCCAAAGTGAAACCTCTTCTCAATCTCAACTATAAGTACCCACCACAATTATTTAACTTTCCAAAACGTGCCACAACTAACACTTTCCTCTCTCTCTCTCTCTATCTAAAACAGCATCAAACACCATCTTCCACCTCACATGACTCGCACACTCAGAATCCTCCAATCCACGGCGGCGCCACCACCGGAAGCTGCCTCCGTGGAGTCAGACTTCGTGGTGATCCTAGCAGCGCTCCTCTGCGCCCTTGTATGCGTGGTTGGTCTCATCGCCATCGCGCGCTGCGCCTGGCTCCGCCGAGGCCCCGCCGCCGCTGGAACCTCGCCGGCGATGGCACTCGCCAACAAAGGCCTCAAAAAGAAGGTGCTGAACTCGCTTCCCAAGTTCACCTACGTCGACGAGGGTAGCCGCAGCAAGTTGCCGGTGGTCTCGTCGGAGTGCGCGATTTGCCTGACGGAGTTCGCCGCCGGCGACGAGGTTCGCGTGTTGCCGCAGTGCGGCCACGGGTTCCACGTGGCGTGCATAGACACGTGGCTCGCGTCAAACTCCTCGTGCCCTTCGTGCCGCGCCCCCTTCGCCGTCCCGCTGTGCCAGAAGTGCGGGCAGTTCCCGGCTGTGGCCGCGGCCGCCGGTGAATCGGAAGCTAAGTCCGGTTGTGTCGACAATGCCGATAACTCGGCTAATGCTAATCATAATATTATTATTACCAACGGCTTCAGTAATTATGGTTTCTTGCCTTGAAAGCAGTTCACTAGTCTTGCATGTATTTGTATAGTTTTAGACTTTTTAGCACCCTCCTTTGTTATAGAGCTTCTTATGTATATATGTATTACTACTCTTTTTGTATAGAAACTTCTTTTTTGGGTTGCAGATGAGTAAGAGTTGCAACTACTATTTGTATAGGAGTTATAATGGCGAAATTGATTTTTCTTTTTCTTTTCTTTCTCACTGGAATCAATTATTTTTCGTATTTGTGTTGTAATTATAATAGCAGTGAACTGATGATGAAGTTCTACTTAAAAATAAGAATTTTGACCAACAAAACTCCAACACGATTGATATATAACTGAGTCTTAAACATGCTATCAGGTACAATTTCCAATATATAGAAAAATATATATATATTAGCACTGTAAAATTCATTTAAATTATCTTTACCTTGGGAAAGGGATTAGTCTTTTATTGTCAATGGAAAAATAGCTAATAAAAATTTATATAATGTTAGAAAACGATAGAAAAAACATTTTTGCTGTGAAAATGTTTTTTATTTTATGAAAAAAATAGCCCAGGCTTTAATGTCTATCACAATGATTTTTATATATTGTGGTAGACATTAAAGCAATCAACATCTAATTAAATTCGTGATCAACCAGCTAAACAGTTGGACTAAAAAGAGACGAAAACCATGGAATGCATGTTCAGTGGCTGCAGGGAGTAGGTGGCCTACAAGTGAGATGGTCACTCCCAGAGTTTTTATTTTTTTTAATATTATTAAATAAAAAAACTATGACACCTTCTAAATTATTAGCTCCATAATATTTTTTATTAATTTATACATTTATTAATAGTAATGTTATTGATTATTTTTCTTTAAAAATCAAAGTGTATGAAATATTTAAATTTATAGAAGTCATTTGAATTATTTTATCTTTTTCTTATAAATATATATTGAGAAATTTATTGAAATTAACTTTATTTATATTTTATTAGCTATATTTAAAAAATGTTGCATATATTTTTATTCATAATAGTTGATCTTTTTTTTATAAATCAGGTATTCCTTAATTTTGACCTCTTTAAATGAAAATTCTTGCTGGGGTTTAACCATGATCTGCATTTATCCAAACAAGCAGCGCAGTGGTTTTCCAAACTCCCTTCTCTACTCGTTTGTGTCACCTTTTTTACCTTGTTCTGCAGGGAAAGCTGACTTTAACCCTTCTATTGGGTATCAATTTTGAAAAAGTATAATATTTTCCTCACAGTTTTTTATATATAATATTCTGTTTAGATGAAATTTTTTACATGTCCCAATGACAATGATGATAGAGGTGTCAAAAGAAGAAAGTGTTAGAAAATTGTGTTCGTAGCATTTCTCCCAAGTCTTACCAAGTACCCATTGTACCAATTCTGTCAGTGAATGAGAATAAAGTCAATCATTTCAGTCAAAGGGAATCATGAATGATCAAAGGTGCATCAGTGCAAACCATCACTAGTTGTATATCAAGCAACCTTCTGCAAGAAGCTTAATTTCCACTACATGAGGATCCTTTGTGCATCTGCATTAAACAAATGTTTAGCAAAAGGAAATGCCCAAAATGAACGGAGCCAAAACAATAAACCAAGGCTAAAGGGATATAAGACAAATGAGAGACATAAAGGTAGCATAAATGTTTATTTTATGAAGTTTTAGAAAAATAATAATTAAGGTAGAGATGCCCTTAGGCTGCATGGTCCCTTTTCTGCATCTATCCAAATTCCCATTCCCATCTACTTAAGATCTTTCTTAATGGGAGGACTATAAGAGTTGCACACCGTTGATGCTTACAAAAAGGTGATAATTGTGGCATCTTCTACACACTTTGTTTTAAGTAGGATAGGGTTATGACGCGAGGTCCCACCCACCATTTATCTTACTAGGTTATCTTTTATTCTCCTCTCATGTCCAGCTTTAGTGTGAACAACTCACGAGCAAAGTTGAAAGTTGAGACTCGAAAAAGCAATAGCCGATATTTTGCACTGATCTTCCGAATGCATTATTAGAAAGCAACATGATTGCAAAAGATTATTACATCCATTTCTTCCACTTTAATTGCAGCTACAAACCACACTCACGCACAGTTTTTGTTTTCACTTTTCAACCAAGTTGGGGACTCATCAATTAGTTGCTACCTTGCCTACTTTTTCACACTTTCTCTCGAGTCTTTTTCTCTTGTTCCTGACTTATCAGAACATGACATCTCCGCAGGCAACATGTTCACTCGCATACTATACTACCTACATTTTCTCAAGACATGTAACGAACGGATAGTCAAATTTCAGACTCCTCCTTACGGTCCTTATCCTTTTATGAGCACCCAAATTGACCATGGGTTGGGTAGCGTTTGCTTGGAATAGTTGGTTTATAATTAAAATAAAAATATTAATTTTTTCAATTCCATATACTTCTCAAGAAAATTTATCAAAACAAACATTTTTTAAGCTTATATTACTACAACTCAAACTTATCAATAAACTCTTATTTGATAAAAATTAATAAAATAAGTACTTAATCAAATTACAAGTCTAAATACACTATTATCTAAAATTAATTTCGGCAATACTATTATGTCATACACACCACACTTTACGGGTAAGAATTTTTAAACAAGTTAAGAAACAAATGACAGCACCCAAAACGTAAATGTAACTTCCCTTCTACTTCCCTACTGTAACTGGGGTTCTGTTGCTATCTTAAAAAGCGTAGGGCTTTCGGTCAAAATATACTTCATTCTCTTTATTCTCGAAGAAAGATAAAGTTCATATTCCTGAAGAAACTAATCACCGAGTGACTATTTGTCATCTTGTCCAAGTAGTTAAAACACTACTTGAGTGTGTTTTTCCGTCAATTTTACCACTAACAAATTGCAGCAAGTAGCCACGTCACATCCTACCACAGTTTTTCACACCAAACATCACATGTTAGTTAATACAAACAAGCCCACTCATATTCAACTCTTGAACAAAATGTTCTGCCCCACAAAATATGGACTATTAAACAGTGTATGACAAAACAGAAGTAATTGATCTTAAATCATGTTCAGCGGTGCCCAAGGGTTGCAGAGTGCAGAAGTATGACGAAGTCTAAATACACTATTATCCTTGTGAACAGAGGTTACTCATCTTCCCGTCCAGGTGAAGGCATATAAGAGTACTGACAATGACATTCACCTATGTAACCTTTAGCATATAACTGAATCTCATTGAGCTAACATCCTAGAACAACTAAATTTCCTCTTCATCACTCTCTCCCCCAAATATGGACGCCATTTTCATAGCCAGCTTTGCAGCCATTTCTCTTCTTTGAAAATCAGGCATCAATCTTAAGCCTGCCCGCATGTTCCCAATCTCAGACATTAATTGTTCCAAATCCTCTAAGTCAAGACATTTACCCTCATCTGTCTTCCCATCTTCAGAATCCATGGTAGTGTGCGCTGCATCCTTGTTGCTCTCAAGCTGAAACACGGTGTTCGAGGTCTCGGGTTGTAACTCTTTATCAGACTTAGTTTCATCCTCATGTTCACAATGTGTGCTGGGATTCTTTTGAGAAGCCGATCCCCCTGCATCTATGGAAGGTGCAGAAACCCATCCTTGCTCATTTTCCTCCCAAAGATCGGTTGATCCAGCCGATAAAACTTCATACTCTTGTTCATAATCAGATTCTTCTGAAGATAAATCTGACAGAATAAAAAAGGATAAACCAAAATTAGTGCTTGCATTTGCTCTACATTGATGAAAGTGGCAAGCAGCTTGCTCCAAAGAAAAAATAAAGAAAAATACCTTCTTTCTCAGGAAATGATGGTTGACTTATCCTATCACCAGATTTCAATATCATCCCAGGCCACATATGAGCAGAAAGAGCACCGTAAAGACGTTCAACTCCTTGTAAATCACCATCCATGGACAAGCCTGTAATAAGCAATTCCATAATCTCAATAGTACAATATAAGAGTGAACATCATATAATCTGAGAATAATTTCCAATGTTCCCCATTCAAACTTAATTTTTGTGTTAGCAGAAAAAGTTTGGTTATTATGGTGTGATGTGAGAATAATTTCCAATGTTCCCCATCCCAGGTCACATACTTGAAGTAATTCATTGTCATCTAAGCCCCTCCTTCTCCCATTAATAATGTGATGTAGTTATGACTCATCACTCATCTATAGGTAAACCAGTATTGTCAAGGCAAAAATCAGAGTTATGTGCAACATGTTATAGACTAGCTCATTACAATGGGACTTCAGGTTTTACATTTGTCAAAATCAGCATTGGAAGCACAAGCCTCAATGAACTCAATATTGTGCTCAGTGCACCATTCCAAGCAGGATCTTCTCATATCCCAAGAAGGTTCCTCATCTCCCAATAAACTAGTTCCCTCAGATTCTGAAATCCCATACTCAGAGAGCTCTGAATAAAGATCCCCAGAAGAGTCTTCAAGTCTTAGCAACCGTCTTCTGTATTCAGCATGGGCTGGATGACCAGGAACCAGGTCCACTTTGTTTCCAATGCACAGAAGTATCTCAAAGTTCACAAAATCAGTGCGAGATACCCAATCTTGAAGTGCAGTTAGGGAAGATGGCTGCAGATAATGAGAAAAAAGAAATATACATTACATGCATCGGTCACCACTAATGCATCCTCATGGCACACAGAAAACAAGAAAGTCATTCAATAATAACTCTCCTGCACATGAATTTACAGCAGTGAATATAAAACCTTCATCATGGATCAAACAAGTGACACAAACAGAAGAACTATAGCAGAGTAAGTCAAGTGAAGGAACTAACATCATTCATGTCAAAAACCATCACCAAAGCAGTCATTCCTCGAAACACGGGCAGGTTTCTGACAGAAAAATCATCATGAAGATGAGCCATCCATACAGAAACATCAGCAGTATAGTACTTAGTGTTGATAGTCCACCTGTTCAGTCCATAATTAAATATACACACAGAAAATTCATAAGCAAACAGTTGAACAAAATGAATCACGGTCGACATACCCATGGACATTCACTTCAGAAGCCGAATCAAAAGCATCTTCAAAATCAACAGAGAGCAATCCTAGACTCAACATCACCAAAACATGTCAAATCAAATTCCACCTCTCAAAATAATAATAACAATAATTCCTGAACCAACATGGCATACCAAAGAATTGAAATCAGCATCAACACATTAATACTAAAGCATCTAAATTAAAATCCAAAACATGAAATGGATCACCCCTTTAACAGAGACCATAATACTTTAAAAAAAAAAAAAAGATATATAATCTAATAACGAATTATGCTGAAGAGATTTTAAATCAATTATAACCGACATCATAATGGAAACCTAAAATTAAAGCTTAGATAGAATAAGCGCAAAAGCAAGGTAAATGGGTCAAGAAGATTTTAACGAGGTAAAGAGAAAGGGACAATTACGGGATAGGAGGGTGCGTTTGCCGACGTTGGAGGATCCGATTATGAAGATTCCGGGTCGGTTCTGCAGAGAAATCGGATCCTTTCGTGATTCGGTAGCATCCATCGGAAGTTGCGGGATTCGATTACTCAATCTCAGTTTGCGAGTCTATTCTTCACCGAGTTGTTGCTCGCGCTCGTGTCGCCGTCGTCTCGTTCGAGGCTTTTGCTTTTGCTATGGTGCACGTGCCGCAGGCTGCGTTCTCCTCTGCTAGCCTGCACAGAAGTAACGGTGGGTGCACTATCCACCACTACTGCTCATGTTGGGTCACGTGTCATTCAAGTTAAATTCTAACATCCTCCCTTCTTTTAAAAAATTAAAAAAAAATATTTATATTAAAAATATAATATATTATAAATTATTAATTTTAATTGAATAAATAAAAATAAATTACAATGTACCATTATTTAAGTTAAATTTATAAAAAAATATATTATTAATTTTATATTTCTATTCTTTTTTTCTTTTTTCTTTTTTTTATTGTTAGTATTTATCATCATGTTCTTTTCATTTTCTGTATTATATTATTATTTTTATTATTATTTTTCATCATTTTTTCCATCATAAAAGAATTAGAAAATTATAGAACTTTTTATCCTAAATTACAATGTGAAAAGACTTACAACTTAATGATATAACTAGTGGAATAAAGTAAGTTTAAAAAAAACAACGTCGACTTTAATATATATGTATATTAGGTTTATTGAGAATCAAATGTTGAAAGTATTGAACTTTTTATCCTAAATTGCAATGTGAAAAGACTTACAACTCAATAGTATAACTAGTGGAATAAAGTAAGTTTAAAGAAAACAACGTTGACTTTGATATATATGGGTCATATATATATATGTATATTAGGTTTATTGAGAATCAAATGTTGAAAGTGATGTATTGGAAGAACTAAGTTTGAACATTGGTTACTTACAAAGTCAATGTAAAAAATGGTAAGCTATATTTAAAAAAGAATCAGTTCTACATGTGGTGGAAATTCGAACCGATTTTGATAATTAACGTATGCTACCTTTTAATAAAAATTATATCTATATCTGGTGATGGTAATAACTGATGTAGAAGTTTGAAAAATAAGAAAACATATATTTAGTAGCAGTTGGTCAGAGCAAATGTATATAGTGTTGGGTGTTTATTTGAAAATATTCAAATGTGAAGTAGAACGACGTCACTGGGTTGGAGAGTGCTACCAACAACATTGTAGGAAGTGGCTATCTTGCCTGTGAAGTTTCCTCAAATTTTCACTGGTGTGTTTCATTTATTCAGTTAAACAATTGAAGAAGTGTTGTCTTATCTCTACTGAATGTTTTTTTGCAGATAGTGGCGAGGTATTTAGAGATGAGTCATATACTATATACATCGGTTAGAATAAAAATTCAATGTTTAGGGTATAACGTTTTGGAAGAAATAAGTTACAACATTGGTCCTATAGAAAGCCAATGCAAATATTGGCGATGTATTTTTAAAATAGTGAATTGTACATCTGGTAGAGGTGAAGACCGATGTCAAACAAATGTAATGTTTCAACTTCAATTTTGAAAGCGGATGTCCATCGAACCGATTTTGATAATGAAAGATGTAACACCTTAACTTTAATTTCTAAAATAAATAAATTTTTGCAATAAGTGGGAATAAATAAAATTTTTCATCTCAAATAGTTCCCAATGCACAAGTTTAACAAAATATCAAAATAAGGGAGGGTTACAAGCTTGCATTAAAATAAACATTACATGACTCAATTAAATACATCAAATTTTCACAAATAGTTTTCTAAGTCCAATAGCAATTTCATCTCTCCCGTTCACTGAGTCCGATGCTGATCGTCTTGGTCACCTGAAAAATAAATGTAAGGGTGAGTACTCTACACTATAATGCACAAGCACAGAGACTCACATTTGTATATCATACATATTCATTACCAAATTCAAATCATACACCAATTATCACATTCATCACTTTTCAGCATTTCATACCAATCCATATATAGATGCACTCACTGCACCCTCAAACAATCCACACAGACACACGTGCGCTCATTGCATGTAACCACGCTCACTGTGGCACTATGATCACAGTTTCACACTATGAATGGTCATCGGTTAGCTCCTCTCGGCAAAGGTGTTAGTCAGAGGTCGAGTCAGGAGGAGAGTGTGTGGCTTGTGGTGCACCCACGCTCACTGTTGGTGTCACCATCACCCGCTTTTCCCCAAGGTATTTCTATTGCTCCATCTTCCACACTCCAGTGTATCACTGAACCATTCATAGCATATTCACAACTGCATTTAACATGCCCATCATATACATTCTCAGTCACACACAATATTCATATTCATACACGGCACATATGTCCACATTCAGTCGCGTCACACTTAAACATTAAATCCTCATCAGACTTCATCATAATCAAATCACTACATCATCCACAATATGTTCAATATCTATCACACACAAAATCCAACAATTACTATATCGTATTTCATACAAAATTTCCACCCAAACACACAATTCCCTACCTTCTATCTCAACCACATTGCAGTACATAGCAAAATAAACGGTATTAAAGACACAAAAGATAGGGTAGAGTTCTCCCTTACCTCAAATCAAAGACCTAAACAGGAAATCAACAAAAAAGGTGCTTCCCACATGAATTTCACTCTAAATACATGGAAGAATCCCATGAGACTCAAAGGAAACTCGAGAAAACAGAGAATGAGGTGAGAAACTGAAACCCTAACCATTAAAACTTACCTCCAAACGCTCCAAACTTGTGTTTAACCTTCAATCTAGCTCCCAAACGGGTTTGGAGGTAATTTAATCAGTGAAATAGGGTTTTGAGTTGAGAGAATCGAAAGGAAAATGAAAAAAGAAGGGTAGAAATGCGTTTTCTGAACCCTAGACCCTTTAAATACCTCTCTAGGTGCGGCACTCTTGCTACAGCACCTTGCTGCAGCGACACCCTCTCTCGCTATAGCAAAAATTTTAGAGGAAACTGCACTCTGATTTCTGCAGAATCTCGCTACAACGAGACTATACACAGAAATGCACTCTCCACTATCACTCTTTTGCTATATCGAGAAAGCAACAGTTTCACCCCTTTCTCCCAGTGCTTTCTCGCTACAGCGAGAGCGGTACAATTTCATGCTTTTCACCCAAGACCTTTTTGCTACAGGGAGTAGCACACACTTAGCCTATATACTCAAATCACTCTAGCCCAAAACACAATCAACCATCAGCAATCATGCTCAAGCATAAGTCCATATATTTATGCATCTTCACAACCATAGTTACATTCAAATCATTACACAATCAAATGCACATTCAATACATCAGTTTATGCATTTATATTAATACATTAAAATATTATTATAAAATCTAGAGCGTTACAAAAGACGTTAATGTAATTTCATACAAAGTTGCTATAGTGGATTTAGATTTATTTGTTTTATGTTTTATGTTTAATACGTGCATGGTGTTTCAGCTGACATGCAGTTCAAAGAAATTGGCCACAACCGTCCACCTTCCTTGAGACGCATGTATACTCCTTCCCAATCCTTAATCATTATACTCACCTTAGTACAAGCAAGAAGTGCAACATAACTCTTGAACTGTGCTGCATTCGGCCCAATGGATTGCTTGTTGAGACGTCAAATTGTATTGAAATCCTTTCGTCAGCGTTACCTAGAACTGTAATATGTGAAATTTTGGTTAGAGGCTGACCTTTCCTCTATGAGTTCCCAGCCATTAGTGGTCAATAGAATAGGCATGTGTTTGATGATTCATTTCATACAGATATATGCGTGAATTTGACGATTCAGTTCCACATCGGTGCACCAAAAGAGTCAATGTGATTTATTTCAATTTATTATTATGTTACTCATGGCCTCAATTGGGACATCGGTCAACATCTAACCACCCGATGCAGATGAAGTCCCTTCTAATTTTAACATCGTCTGCATATTAACATCAGCTCGAGAACAAGTCTGATGTTAATGTTCATAACCAAATGTAAAAAGACCGCTTTGTAGCGTATACCAACTCGTTTCTTGGGCTACCTATGCATTACTATTACTATTATTAAACAATTATATATGGAAGATGGGCCGCCTATACAAAATCAATTTTATTTATAAATATTTGAAAAGATAAAATTTTTCATTAACAAAAGAAATATTATACTTTTTAATTATAGATTTAGTTCTTATACATATTCTCAATCTTATAAGGGATGATAATTTTGCATCAATTTGACATATAACCAACTGTGTATCATTATCCAATCTTAGATAATTTTATATATCATCATTAACCAACTTCAATTTCGCATAATTTTTCAGTTTCATAAACCAATAATGGCTTAATGAAACATTGTCAAACATTACATTTATTCATCCATTTTATACAGTTAAATAATTATGCATCACATAAATTAATAAATATAAATCACAATTGGAATTATTTTAATTACTCTAAAAATGTTAAACCATAATAATAATAATAATAATAATAATAATACCATATTTCATATGACATTATTTTGAGGTATTTATAAGGTATATCTAAATGTATTATTCATGTTAATATTTAGATACCTACTATTATTGTTGGACAATTATGCCTTATTTACCAATACAAAAGATTAATAAAGTCTATTACAATACCTCATTATTGAGAGGTTCCTGGTGTCTACATAATAATTTAGTCACTTATGTGATATCCCATAATGCATGGTATGATTTTTATATCTTTAAGGCTTTATTTGGGAGTTTGGAGGGGAAGGAAGGGAAATGATTTAAAAGAAGAAGGAGGGGAGGAGAAGGAGGAAGAAAGTTAAACTCCTCCCTTGTTTGAATGTTAAATATGTAAAGGGGAGGGTGATAGGGGGTTAATTATATAAATAAGATTATTGTCTTTTATACATTTTATTTTTATTTTTTATTTTTTTTAAATACAAAAATTAATTTTTTTTCTTCCTCTAAAAATTAATAGATTTTGAGCAAAAATTAATTTATTAATATTATTTTCTTTAATTATTTTAAAAAATACACAAATTATATGTTTTTCTTGCTCTAAAAGTTAATATTTTTGAAATTCATATTTCTATTTTTTTATATTTTTGAAAAAATTCTCACTCTAAAAATTAATATTTTTTTACAAAATATTTTTTTTCTTTTTTTTTTAAAATTAACATCACACTTTTAAAAAAGATTTTTCTTTTTTGTTTTATTTCATTCATTTAATAATTAATATGA